AGAGAGAGAGAGAGAGAGAGAGAGAGAGAGAGAGAGAGAGAGAGAGAAGTAACAGCGCATATTCTCATATTTGCGCAGACTCTCATGTGCGACATATAAAAAAATAGCAACAAAGAGAAATACATTAAGTAATATAGAGAAGCAAGAAAAATGTAATTACGGTCGATCAAATAGAAACACCAAGACATATAAAAATTGCCATGTTTTTTTTGCTTTGTCGATTTTATCTATTTAATACACAAGTTTTATCTATCTACCGCAGTTGTCGTCGTCACATTTCCATTCGTTGACCTTTTTGTCGCCCTCTTTTTGTCTACAAAGTTCTGGCAAATGTTCCGAGAACTATTTTTCCTACTGCAATAAAAAAATTTCCTACGGCACAAAACTATAGATTAGAGAAACATAAATGCTCTAAACGTTTTTGGAACGGATTCTATGAACTAGATTGAAATAAAAACGATAACTATCAATTTTTTTCAAATGATTTATTTAATTATCTTAAAATGTTCCTCTCCATTATGAAAATATAAGAAATTAAATTGTGTGATTTTTTACGTTTTAAAATTCATTTCATTTTTTATTTGTTTTCATTTAAATCTTGTTGACGTCTATTTTGTATAGCATTAGAATAATAATAGTAATATAGGATTTATTAAAAATAACACATTTTATGCATTGTTATATTCAATCAATTTTTTGTTTCTGTTCATCATTTACCAATACGGACTGTGATCGTTACATAGCAATCGCATAGATCACATTTTACATCTCTCTTATTCTCACTATTATTGTTTACACGAGAATCTTATTTTCTTCTTTTTCTTCTTTTTCTATCTTTCTTTCTTCCTTTCTCTCTCTGTCTGTCTCTCTTGCACTCTAGGACTTACGCGTAGCATTTATTCATTTATTCGCATTAGTTCACTCACGTTTACAATATAATGGAAAATGTTTTTTTCATTGATCGTGCTATTTTAGTGTGGATCGTTTCGTCAGATGTTTAAATATTCATATTTTCAATTTGTTCAATTGCTCACACAGAACTTATTCAAATATAGATATTCAAATTATCCATCAGCAAAAAATTAGACATTAGAAGACAAGATCAACTACAAAGATTTTCATCGTCTTCACCAGATATGTTTTACATGTGATTGTTTAAAATGTAAACGCGCTTTTTTATTTGCTTTCAAATTGTGAGCTGGTTGAAATGGCGCGGAGAAAAATATTGGAGAGGGGATTCACATAGAAATCTTTAAAATATGTGTACTTATGTGATCAAGAGTCCTTTTATTTGAGAATGTAAATCTGATTATAGAGAATAAATCAAAATTCGTAGATTTTATCGCAGAAAGTCTATATGAGCAGCGAACAGAAAATAAAAAAACACCAACATTGAGAGAATTACGCCCGTTTTGTATTTTGTACAAACGGTGTTAATGACGATGATATACATCAATCTAAGATCGTCCCAAATATGCACACATTTTGCAACGCGAACACACACGTGTGGTTCCAATCATGATTTCCCTCTGCCACTTTACGCAGTGCCACCTTTGCCAAAGGAGATTCTATTTGTTTACCCTTAGAATTTAACTATTTATTCGTGTTCTTTTTTGCATTTCAATTTACGAGTATGCCGTAGCAAACGAAGAAAATATGAAGAAAAATAAAATAAAATCAGGAACAAACAAATTATAAATGAGCTTGTTCTATTCTATGCAAAATAATCGAAAATCGTATAAAGGCACTAAACTGTGGGTATGCATGGCAAGGACTTTGATACGACTTCTCGCACACATAGACAATTGTATTGTGCTGGTTGACCAAAAAACGACTGAAGTATTTTTGTTTTCTAGTGTATGTATGTGTGTTTTTTGTGTTTTATTCGCAGTTCGATGTACTTTATGATGCAGCCAGTAACAGCAGAAATACGATTTATCTTTACAATTTTCCCCTTGAAATATTTATGTGTGAGAGTTCAACTGTTATTTGCAAAATTATGCCCGCCATTCAATTTCGATTTGACTATTATTACAAATTACATTTATATGTATATATACTACTATACTGTTGTTGCAATTTGCATATTGCGCACTGTGTTGTCAATGTCGGTGTGACCGGCATAACGATTCTTTCTCTTCAAAACTTAGAAAATAGTTTAATAGAATTTTTCCCTTGTGTCTCTCTCTCTGTGTGTTTTTGTTTTTTTTTTATTTATAGTTTTTCATTTTATTTAGATAAGATTTACACCCTAAATTATCATTAATCATAAACCATTTACTATTATTATCAATATTATTATTCACTGCTTTCCTCTTTTTATGTTTTTGTATAGTAAAAATATCCACTTTATGTTTAGTTTGAACTTCACAAATTTTTTTTTTTTACTTTTTTAACCCTCATTCATTTTGTTTTATTTAAACAAATTATTTTCTTTTGCAAATGTGTGTTTTTCCGCGTGTAAGTGCCTAAACTAAGATCATTTCTATTTTAATGGTACAATTTTTTTGTGTGTTCCAATCCAATTCTGTGTTTTCTTTATTGATTTCGTCCTATTTCCAGTTGTTACTGTTTTTATTTACGATTAACGTTTTGTATGGTTGTATTTATATCGTAAATTGTTTACTATTAATATTGTTTATGCCCGCAATAATAAATTCTCGCGTACCTATATCTTAAAGTTAATAGTATATTTTTCAACTACTCTTTTTTATTAATTTTTTTCGTATTCTATCTGTATCATATATAATAAGTTTTTGTTTGTTTTCCGTTTATTCGTTTAACTTTCAAATAAAAAAAAAACAGATATTCCTTTTTAATCATCATGTTTATTTTTGCTACCGACTGTTTTGTGTATCTCATATTCTAAGTTTAGGTTTATTTATAATTTCATTTTTTACCATCATTTGATTGGTGATTTCGATGAAGCAAAATGACTGCTATTGCCTCTTGGCACTGGTGAAAATATATTGAATCGGCTACTGTTCTGTGTCACGAATAAATGAATTAATATACGCGAAATCTGCAGAGGTTAGCGGTATGGCCATTATTTCAAATGTGGATTCACTAAAAAAATGATTATTAGTGTACATGTTACGCATACGGTCTTTATTGGTGTTTTATTTTAATTTTGTATACGAGCGTGTAAATGCACGTGCATTTTGATGATATTTCGTGCTACATTTTGTGTCTGTGTTTGTGAATGGTGTGAAAACATATGTTTTTTCTTTATAGCAAAATGAAAAAAAAAATATTTTTTTTGTATTAAAACTTTAAGAAAAAAAAATCATATATAAAATACATACAATTTTTATACATACGTCCGTTTTGAATTATCTCTTTAAATTCACAATGAATATGATTCAACTATCTTTAGATAGTTTTTCAGAAAATGTTTTCCTTCTTAATGAGTTTTCAGCGTGTATATATTTGTGAGTGAGTGAACGTGGCACAATAATTTTCATTTCGATCTCTTCACGCAATTCAACCTTCATAAACATGAATTGGTGTTATAAAAAACAATACGATAATTTCGATGAAAATAAAACAAAGACAATTTTTACTGGACAAATTGACAACATTTTTTGTATAGCACACGTTGTATCGTTGTTGTAGTAAATAAATGCACTATTTTTTTAATTTGATCATTCAATTCATTATGTCCTATAAAAATAAATGGCAACTACAAAAAACGAATCATTGTTCATTATTATTTACTTGAGGCAAAAATGGTTGGTCTGCAGTTGAAGAAATAGTTAAATTTTTGTCTATTTTTTGTTTTATCAAAAAAAGAGAATGCATATGTGCTTGGACTTGAACTTTCTATATTCTCAATGTTGTGCTTGATTTTTGAAGAAGAGAAATAAAGAAAAAACAAGTTCTATAATAAAAATGTGGAGAGAGTGTGTGTGTGTGTTAATGTGTGAAACAAAGGATATAAAATTTGTTGGTGGTGTGTTTTTGTGATTCTCAAAAATAGATTCTTGCGCATTTATTGTTGCATTCTAATTCCATAAAAACGTTTGCAATATTTTGTCCTTAATTTCTCAATGGTTTTTAAAAAACTCATATGGTATGTTCATAAAATTATTTTCTCTCTCTTTCTATCGCTCAGAGTGCTTCAGAATCTCCATTTTAAGACAGTGTGCAATTTTATTTTTGAGATTGGTTAACAAATTGTGTCGGTTTCATCTATCATAAGTAATAACAACGCTTTCCCTATACCTTACACTCTCTTTCACATTTCTCACTTTTCTCAAATTCCTCACGAGTTTTAGAACTTGCAGAGAAAAATATATCATAATATATAAATTAAATCGAAAGTAAACAGTTGAAAAAAATCGTTTTTGGTTTTGCTACACGCACCGATTGCAAAGTATTCTAGCAGCTTTTTGAGAGAAGAAAAACACACAATGCTGTATCAAATTCTTTGTGAAAACGAAAATAAAATGTTCCTTTAGCTGCGTTTTTCTGTATCTATTCGCTTCGTATGTCGTGTATGATTTTGAAACTTATTATTTTGTTTGTCTGGTGTTATTACTATGCATTTGAAAGCCTTGACTTTGATTGCAAATTCACTTCTCTGACCGCAAAAAATCTATGTATTCTAATTACATACACAATTTCAGTTTACATTTATAGTTTCGTTTCTATCCTTATATGTTCAATTTCAACTATCAAATCGAGCCGCTGTATACAATTGATTTTTTTACAGTCAAAAAAGGGCCTGAAGTTATCTTGGTTTTTATGATTTTTCTTTTCCTCTTCTATTAATCATCATTTTTTTTTTGTTTTTTTTTTTCTTAAAAAAATTCGCAAGAGAAACTATAACTTTAGATTTAGATTTTATTTATATAAGTAAAACTTTTTTCATTCCTTCCATCATCGACATGGCAATTTGTTCATTCGATTTGTTGACTCTCTTGAGGAATGTTAATTTCATATTTGATTACTTGTGCGGTGTTTCCTTGCAAAACCTGCACATGTACCGGTTGATTTCCGATTAACACTTCACGGGTTAACTGTTGCTGTTGAACGGTTTGTTGTGAGTTTTGTTGCTGATTCTGAGCTTGCTGCGCCTGATTCTGAGCTTGTTGTTGATTTTGTAATTGTTGATTTTGCGCATCCTGCGGGATTTCAACAACAATCTGAATTAAGATGAAAATGAGGGAGGAGGTGTAAATTGTGGTCACTTGATCATTGCTCATTTTTTTATCAACGAAATTTAAAATAACTTTAAATTGTGGCGTCAATTTTATAAGGGTAAATCGTAAAAGGGAGAAATGATTGTTACGAAACGAACCTGTTGTTGTTGAGCTTGCTGTTGCAAACTAGCTACCGATGGTTTTGTTTCCAAATGCTGGCGTTGATGAAGCATCAAATGATTCTTCTGGAAAAATGCTTTACCGCATTCACAAACGTGCGTACGTAGAGTACAACCACCATTCGGATGCCGACGATTATGTTGTAGAAGGCCATGTTTGGCAGCAAATCCTTTACCGCAACTTGTACAGAAATGTGTTTTCGGCTTTTGTTGTGGTGCTGTTACAACCACGCTTTGATGGCCTGTTTCAGAAACATCGATTATTTCGGTCATACCTTTATGATTTGAATTATTGAATTCATGAGGGGGTGGAAATAATAATGAGTTTTGACAACGATTTTTGTTCTTTTCAACTATGTTGTTTACAGTTTTAAGAAAGGTTGCATATGTATCACTTCACTAACTCACGTGATACACGTGAACTATTCTCAAAAATGGAAACGCATATAGTTTGGGTTAGGTGTATTAATGTAAACCAAAGAAATGATGATGACAAAAAATTGGGTTTTATTTTGGTCTTGGATTTGTAATTTGTGTTAATGGATTTAAATGATTTAGTCTTTTTCTGTTCATACCTGTGTTATTGTGATGTTGCACCATTTGGTGCTGTTGATGATGTTGCTGCTGTTGGTGATGCTGTGTATTCTGAACGATTGGTTGTACTACTTGTCCGCTTGACAAAATTTGTACCGGCACAGGTGTCTGCTGGACAACTGAATGATTCGACGTTAACACAGTTGCACCTGTGTTCGTACTTAAGAAATGACCTGGTAATGCAGCAGTCAATGCACATAAATCGGTCATTAAGCTCTTGTCACCAGTATGTAATCGAAGATGAAGTGCTAACGCTTCGCGACTATTAAAAGCTTGACCACATTCCCTACATTTTTTAGTTACAAAACAAAAAAATGAGTATAATGTTTATTAAATGTATCAATTGAAAAAAACCGAGTGGAAATAAAAAAAATGAAGAAGTAAACAAAGAAAATAGGTAAACTATTGAAACCAACCGGCATGCATATTGCGGTCTCGGTGATGTCTCTGGCGATGTGATAGTAGTTACTAAGCCATTATTTGATTGACTGACAACAGTTACAGTTTGGGGCTGATGCTAAATAAAACAGGATAGAAAACCACCATCAATTCAGATTAGTTTTAAATGATTTTTCCTACTCACCATTTGTTGTTGTTGCGATCCAGATACAACGATCGTTGTATTCGCTGAATTTGGATTTATTCCTCCATGTGTAGCACGGTTGTGCTGATTAAGTTCTGCTTTTGTGCGGAAACCTTCACCGCATGCAGTGCATGGATATGGTTGATCGCCTGTATGCAATCTGCTCTCATTCAATAAATTATGGCACATGTAATTAAAAAGGCAAGAAAATATTATTAGCAATCATTTTGATATTACGTCAGTATAATAATAATTGTCAAAAACATTAAATAGAGTAGCAAATTGATAGATAGATAGATAGTTAGCAAATAAAATATTATAATAGAAAAATCAATAAAAAAGCAAATGATATGATAGATCAAGATGAATTGAAGACAAAATATAAGATAAATGCCATTAGAAAATGATCACATGCTTGGTTCAATTTAAAAATAAATACAATTGATGATAAAAATAATGATAACAAAAGAAAAGGAAAAAATGAAAGCATAAATTATAGACGTACAACCTCATATGCGCTACTAATGTTCGCTTCTGCAAGAACTCCTTTCCGCAAACAGTGCAAGAGTGTGGTACACGTCCATGAATACGTCCATGATTGACCAATTGGAATTTTCGCGGAAACGTTGCGCCACAATCAGAACAGACAAATGGATTGAGCGAACCATGGAATCGCGAATGCATAATCAAATGGTTTTCCTGGGCAAAACTTTCACCGCATTCGTCACACACGTAAGGTCTTTCACCAGCATGAAATTTACTGTGTGTCACCAAATGACGTTTCAATGGGAACGATCGGCCGCATTCCTGGCAAATGAAGGGTCTTTCACGACTATTGATAAATATAAAATAAAATAAAATAGATGGAATTGGTAAATTAATAAAAATGAGATGCATTTTTTAATCACTTAAATTCATATGATTTTGTCCAATATGAAAAATTTAGATTGTTTTTTTTGGCACAAACCTATGGACCCGTGAATGCGTTAACAAATGATGCTTGAGTGTAAAACTCTTTTTACATTCGCTGCACTGATATGGACGATCAGTTGAATGCAACAGCAAATGTGTATTTAAACAGTGTTTGTGTGCAAAAGATTTTCCACAATGAACACACACGTGAGGTCGTTCACCAGTATGGACGCGAGCATGTGTGGTTAAATGGTGTTTAAGCAAAAAACTCTTGCCACATTCTTCACATGCATATGGACGTTCTTTGGGTGCACCGCCCGTAGCCAATTCATGTTCTTCGGCTGTTAAAATTTCCTCTTTTGGATTGATCTCGAGCACTGGCTCCAATTTACAGTGTGTTGATGATGTAGCTTGTGAATCATCCGCATCCTCCAAGCCTTGAATCACCTTTTGCACTTGCACCGATATACCTTCACGTATTAAAAAATCTGGAAATAAAAATGTTTTAAACAAAGACGTTAATACATTTCATACGGTCGACTAGCGTACCTGTGTGCTGTCCATCAGTGGTCGTTATTGTCGTATGATTTTGTTGTTGCGCAGCTGCTGCGGCACGTTTCATTAATATTTCATTACATTCTTCAGGTGTTAACTGAAGCGTTCCGATTGGGCTCATAAACGTAGACGTATTTTTCGAAGCCGATGTTAAAACGGTTTGCGTCTTATTGTCCAGAATACCATTGGCTAGAGAATGAGATTGATCTGATTGATCTAACCAGAGCATCGAATTCATTCGTGATGTATTTTCAATTTTAATTTGTTTGTTTTTGTAGTTGTAGTTGTTATAGTTTGTTTGATTCAGAGTACGTTAGAATTTTGAATGTGTGAGTGAGTGGTATATTGTGTTGCTTTCATTTGGCAATTAAATTTCGGAAAAATGTGTTAAAGGGTTTAAATTGTTTGACTAATTTAGATTGTGTATTTATGTGTTTGCAAAGGGAACTAATGCGGGAACAACTTATCACAAACAATAATTACGTGTTAACAAAAAAAAAGTTTTAAAAATTAATCTAATCGACAATCGATAATGAAAAAACGAAAATCGAAATTTTGTGATTGGATGAATGTATATGAGTGTATTAAATTGTTAATCATAATATGAAAATGAAAGATTACTTTTTAACAGGGATTATTCCTCTGAGGAGGCAAGTGAACAGGAGGAGAGCGTTGAGGATGACATTTTTTAGTCAAAAAACTATTTTTATTTCAAAAATATATTTCTTTTGGTTAAAAAACATCCACCTCAACTTCTCATTTGACTCTTCACCATCCTTCTCATCAGAGGAATAATTCCTGAATTTTTAGAAATGTATGTGTAAATATGTTAAAAAGTAAAATTTTGAAACCAAAAATATTTCCATGAAAATTTGAAGCCCAACAAAAATCAAGTTGATAATAATAATTGTTAAAAACAAAACAAAATAAAAGTTAATAAATAAAATCAAACTATACTCGCGATTATCCATGGGAATAGTTAATTAAACATAGAATGAATAATGGATAATTGTTCCCTTAAGGTTTTTAGTCTGTGTATGTTTGTTGTTGTTTTTTTTTTTTAATTTTGAAGAAAAATGAAGTCGAGGAGTTTTTTGTCCTATTTGTTGGAAAATATGATCGCTTTGAATCGAATTTATATAAGGTTAAGCACAAGGGGTTTCATTCTTTTCTTTTTCTCCCTTAGTTAAAAAATTAAATAGCCGTTATGGTAACCGTTATGAATACAATATTGAAAATAGTATTTGACGCCATTGATAAATGTTAACGTGTCCGCAGCAAAGTTTTGTGGCTTCTGATTTCAAGTTTGTGTTTCTTTTTTTAATATTTGAGATTGAAATGTGAGCCATTTTTTATTTTTTTAATTCAACTTTGACGATAGAATGTTTAACTGAAGGATTTTTGGACATTATATTTTTTCTAGTCCAAAATACCGTGTGCCTCGGAAGGAACAACTTGTGGTATGAAGTTGAATATTAAACAACTACCAAGAACGCTCAATTCTACTTTCGACTTTTTGGTCGCACGCAATTTTAATTATTGAATGGTGCCAAAATATTTTTTCGATGAACAAAGAATTATTCGGTACTTTTGTTTATGCGATTTTTTTCGACATGAATATTAACACTACCGACTACAATTCATACATCCACAAAACACTAAATTTAAGCCAACATTTGAGCCAATCAACATTTGTTTTCAAATAACTTTCAAGTATTTCAGAGGGTATTGTATGTACGTTCTGTAGTTTTTTTTAATAGTATAAAGTGTCACCAACGAAAGCACACAAGAAGCAAAATTTGTTTATAAGAGTCCGCGTGTGAATATTAGTTCCTATGTAATGTATAAATTTAAGTAAATAAATGGAATAATTACAGTTTTTATCGCATCCAATGCTCAGCACATCATGTTTCTTTCCAACGGTTGAGGCTGCATTACCCGTAATAACACGGAAATTGCCGCTAAAATAGAAGATTAAATTTATTCAAAATAAATGTCGAAAACATGTTTAGTTTATCAAGTACTTTAGTATGTTCAGTCTATTTTGAGTTGAAAATAAATCACTAACCTTTGTGTGGACGCTTGTGAAAATGGTTCATTGACTACAAACATACGGCGAACAACTCCTTTATTAGTGTGTGCGATAGCTCCTTTTACGTCCTTTTGTTGTACAGTGATACCTCCGTCGGTTAACTGCAAGTAGGGCATCTGTAAAATTTCGATGCAGTTTTTCGTGTGTTGCACAACACAGGCGATCACAAAATATTGTGATTTTTGGTTTTGTTTATGATGTTTTTTGTATGTGCAAGTATGTGTATGCATGTACGTATGTATGTGGGTATATATTGCATGTGGAGATAAACACATTCATTCACAAAGTGGTTCACACGATGTTTTTGTTGTAATAATAACGATCATGTTGACGACGGATGATATTGATGATGATGATGATAATGAGATGAAGATGATTAATTCAAGCCGGTGCGAATGTGTGCGTAATTATTTTTTTGTTATGTAAATAGGTCAAGCATATTTATTTATTATTTGTATGGCATATTAGATGATTTGGTGATGCGTTTGTGGTTGTAGTGAAGCGATAATGCATTTGAAAGGAATAAAAAGAAGTAAAATAAAGAATACATGTGTGATGAATTAAAAAACTCCTTATATGTATATTTTGTTCGTATTCTTTGAATCCAAGTTCAATTTATCGAATATCGGATCAATTTTTGTTCATCTATATATCTTTTGAATATGTCTAGAAGAGATTATGTTATTCAGCGCTTATGGCTGAGTAATGTCTGAATAAAAACATACTCTCCTCTCGATATTTTCAATAGATATGTGGATTATGTTAAAATTCAAAACATTACGAACTCTGGCAAAATTCAATTTCAATTTACATGATTTACATTTACATTGTCAAAAGAATATTGTTTCTCTTGCGCTACATTGCAACGTAAAAAGTAAAAAAAAAATCTAGATACTATAGAAAAATGCTAGGGGGATTCCGCGCGTATTTATGTACCAAAATTTAACTTTATTCCTAAAATCTCATAAAAATTAAAATATCCGACCATATCTGACAATATCTGTAAGTATTCAATCATATCCTAGTTTCTGGAAGTGGGCTTTGGTTGATCCTCAGGATCATGAGAATGCTCCCAGTTCTGGAAGTGGACCCTCAGGATGGGCCAGGGCATTGTCAAACCATAGTCTGGTCCATCCTGAGGATCCACCAAAACCCACTTCCAGAACTGGGAGCGGTCTAATGATCCTGAGGATCCACCAAAGCCCACTTCCAGAACAATTATTAGATCACAATATCTCACAATATCTCACATATTTGTTAAAAATTGACATTTTGTACTTATATCTATTCAAATGCGCTAAAAAAGTTAAAATCTCTTCTTTATCTGCAATATTCAAAAGCGCGGTTTCCCCCTAGGAAAAATGTACACATTTTTTGCGACAAATTCTTTAGAGTATTTTCATTTTAATTTGAGTCTTTTAAGCTGAAAATCATAACATTGATTGACCAGAAAAATATGTTTTTTTCTAAAAATCCAAAATTTGACTGAAAATTAGTATGTCCATAACATTATATGGGCTAGATTTAAGGCATTAAAAAGAGAATGAACTTTTACTTTTCAAATAAAGTGAATAGTTCGTTTTTGGGACGAAAAAAAAGCAGAGTAATATTCATCGCTGGAATTCAACAAAAAATACAAACACATAAGCATTTCGATTGTTTTAGAATTGAATCTTTTGCACGCCATTTTGTGTGAATGTGAATCATGCGCAATGCGTGCCAACGTCCAATTCGGTATAAAGGAAGGAGAAAGAGAATACGCGTGGAATGAGTTCCTCGCCATCCAACAAAAAATGAATTGATGATGAACATCGGACAAAATACACAAAAAAAAACCGGAAAAATACGAGATACGAATAACACTTAGAAAGAAGGCATTACAAGGAGTACATTTCATCATCGGTGGAAAAGAGTGAACATTTAATAGAATTTAATAAGTTTAATTAAGAGTAAATCGAATGATAAAATATGGTCACTGCCGATTGTTTTTTTTCTTTCATTATTCAAGCTATCCACAATCACTCATTTTCCATGTATTTATGAAATTATTGGCAATTGGAGAACAATAGAATTAAACGTTGGATTGTATATTTTTTGATTGTTTAAAATTCTTTTTTATTTGGAAGTTTTATACCGCTGAAAGTGTAGCATGGACTTTAAAACTTATAAAATTTAACCATGTTAAATGAGAAAAAAATTGTACTTGAATTGAATATTATTGCAATTGAATAATAATATATTACTGATAGTATTTTGTTGGAATTTTTAGCGCTTGGATGTTTTCACATATATAAACGCTTTCCGATGCTGTGAAATATTGTATACTATCACATACTTGTAGTTTTTACTCATTTTCCACAAATGTCGTGTGCTTCATTCCAAGATTTACGTATGTGGTTTTGTTTTGATTTTCTCCTATTTCGATAGATTTTATTTTATATATTAAGTTTTGAATGTATTTTATTTTGCGGTATTACACATTAGACAATGTCACAGTATTTGTTTTCACAATATATCAGATGGATGTGTTTTCGGTCTAGGTCTTCGTTGTTTTTGTGTTTAATTGTCAACAGCATGTATTGCTTAGTGGTGGGACAATTCGCATGGGTGTTCTACACAAGCTTAATAAAATTAGGTAAATAAATGTTCCAGCTTTTTACTAAATGTCTTAGTGAAAATAGCTTGATTATTTTTTTCATAAATGTTTTCATAAATAAAAAATTGTGTAGTGAGTGAAAGTCTGAATGCGGAACTCAATCTATTGACAACAAAAAAGTAGAGAGAGATGCATACAGAATATGAAATTGTGGTGATTCGATTAAAGAATATATGATATATAAAATCCATCAAAAAAAAATTGTGTGTCAGATAGAGAGAGAGAGAGTATGTCAACAAAGTGTATTGTTCTTGTTTTCATTCTTTTCTTTTCGTTTTTGAATGTATTATGCTTTGGTTGTATTTCAATGTTTTGTTATGCTCTATGTGCCCCGTGTATGGTACATTCACACTCTCCCACTTGGTATATCACATTGTTGATGGCATGGCATGGCATGGCATGGCATTTGGCGTTGGTGTGATGTATGTATGGAGAGTACGTTCTATTATGATGGTAAAATAAAGATGTGCGCGTAGATATGTCTCTTGCTTTTGCTCTTTATGCATATTTGTGCTCATTGTGTGATTGTGATTATGTGTTATTATATTATTTTGACTTATGTAGTTATAAGATTTGCCGGTAGTCAAAAATTTGTTTTTCATGTGTGTAATAGTTTGTGTGTATGTGTGGACGCGGAAAACATATATAATATTTTTATGTATTTTCTTATCTTCTATGGCAATAACATTGCACTAACTACACGTGCTTTAGGGTTGCTGTCTTTTTCACTTTTTCTCTCTGTCACTGGGATACATTCATTGATTAGACATTGTGTGTGCCTGTGTGTTGTTACATTTCGCGCGTAAATTTGTTGATTTGTTATATGTTTTTTTATGCTTTTCGTTTTATAAATAATAAACATTAAGCCATGCAATAGACTACAGTTTATGTTTATGTGTATTCACTTTTTTTTACTTCAGTGCGGTCGAATTAGTGGCGAAGAATGTTAGGCCTTAGAATTTACAAACATTTTTGATGTTATGAAAAATTTAAAACAAAATTCTATTATTACCAATGCAAAACGTTTGATTGTAATGAATTTACACTTTGCATGAATGTAAATTGAAATCGAATTTGAGCTAATGGCCAAATATGTATTTTATTCATTTAAAATTGAACCAAAATAATACAAAACAAAAGATATATACAAAAATTTAAATATATAATTAACTTACGTTATCGCTAACTGTATAATTGATATTCGGTGATATTTCGACAATTTGTGAGCCATCTGATCGTGAGTTGTCTGCAAAACCCCACGTATAACCGAAACTCGCTGGCGGATTACTTTGCGCTGCCATATTCGTTTAGAAATTATGTATTTTCCTGCAGCGTTGAAGCGTGTATTTTATATTCTTTTCTACGTTCTCACAATATTGATGATAATTTCTGAATTTGTTTATTTAGTAATTTGATAATTGAAACGTGTTAATCGCAACAGTTTTCTCTTCGTCTGCCAAAGTATAACCTATGAAAAAAAAACAGACACATTTTAATATATTTACTTTTTGTTGAAAATAAGACGATGTACACAAAAAAATGTAATAAAAATCATCAAATAAGATCCCATCTCTTCATAAAAATTTACGTAACCAAACCACTGACAACAAAAGTGTTTATGTACAATATATATATTTGCTTAGAGTAAAAGTGGGAATAATCGAAACCGTACTTTCGAATTCCTGTCCTTACTAACTTACTACACATAAAATACATCTGACATTTGGAAATCTATTGGTGAAAATCTTGTTAACAATAGATTTATTAATTTATAGTGGTCATTTAATACCATTCTTTTTTCTATATGCATTGTAACAAATTAAAACCATAATTCAAAATTACATACGAGTTTTTTTGTTTTGAGCATTGCAAGCGCCTAGTCGAGAGCTCAATGTTTGCTCAATCATGTCAAAACTTGAGATTTTCCGAATTATCGTAAATTATCAACGATTCATTTTGATATAGTTACATCCGTAGATATACGACACGCTCTCCATATGTTTGGGTCTAACTAACATATAGCGACATGATTATATCTGCATACATCTGCACAGCACCCATAATATGTTACTTTTTTCACACATTCATAAATACATACGTCAAGCAAAATACTTTGCGAAAAAATAAATTACGTCCAGTTCACACCTGACAATTTTATTTGGTTGTATACAATTGATGTATCTCACAAAAATGTGATGTCTGGCCTTTATTACAAATTATGTTATTGCGCAGGAAAATGAAAGACCATAAAAAGTTGGTCTCTTTGCTTAAAACGTGAGAAAAAAATTAGTTCAAGCAAATGAATCGAAATCGTAGCTAATCTCATTTCAATATTGGTGCCAAAATTTTGGCGAATGTGTAAATGGCGCGCAGCAAAAGAGCAATCAAAAACATTCATATAAGAAAGTTGAATGAGTTTCGAAGTTCAACCACGTGCAATACCAACAAAATCTATATTGAAAAAAATAAATACAGAAAATACTGTTCAAACTTGCAGTTTGATTCATTAAACACCATAGTTATGTTTATGTGCGCGCGTTTAGTTGTACAACGAAAAATGTGGTTTTTCGACTTTGAAATTAAAACACACGTCAAAAGCGGAATATAAATAAGAATACAAGCACAGCATGATATGCACAGTAACGATAGCTATAGCGGTTACGATGAAGGCGGCAAAAATATTGCTTTATACTAATTTGCGTGTTAAATAAAAAAAGGGACTTCATATTCAGATTTGGTCATGAATGAGCGCTAAAAATTACCAACAACGTCTAAATGAATTTTTGCGATCGTCTTCGACAATATGGCTTATATACACTACGTTATATTATATTGCAATATTTTGTATTGAAAGAGCGACATCCAATAGATCTCCGAACGTACATTAACAATCGGTATGATTCACATTACAGATACATTTAAAACGAGACAATAAGAATATTGTCTATTCTAATTAAATGCAAATAAAATTCGTATGATAGTCCTTCCATGTATTCTGTCCCACGCATTGCGCGCCCATCGTTTGCAATTAGTCGCAACAACGGTATCGGCTGTGAATGATTATTTAAAATGCAAATAAAAATATACGGGGCTATGTCTCACTCTTTATCTACTCAATTGATGTATCTTGTATCTTGTATGTTCTATCTTACAATTTCCCTCCCTACGAACCTCCTCTTATACTTACGCACAAAAAACACAGGCACAAGTACACATTCAAATATACAACACTCACACGTTTTTCATATTCAATCACTTTATGACTATATTATATACATACATATAAATATGTTTTTTAGCATTTGTATCGCGGGCTATGTATTGTAACTTCCTATTTCATTCGATACCCCGCTTACACAACGAATTCGTATATTATTATTGAGAACACGCGATTTCAACACGCCAGTGAGAGATGTGAGGAACTCACTGACTGTATGAAGAACTAAAAAAAACGAAGAGAGAGAGAATAATACATAAAAACAACAATAACAAACTGAAATCGCTATTGCATGTGAAACTTTTTGAGGTTTCACGAATGTTAGTATTTAGCGTTTTGTGTTATTTATCATTAAAATTCGTTTCAGTTCAGCCTCTTCTATTTTTTGTTCGTTCGGTCGTTTGTTTTTTTTTCTTCTTTTTTCTTATTCGGTTCGGCTATTGAGAGAGGCGCGTTTTCATTTCGCTTATTGCAGTTGGATATGATTTTATTATTATTTTATTTCTTGGCTCGCTCAATTCATCACTTTTATTTCATATTTTCTACAGAGTATCTTGTTTGACAATAACGAAAATAAAATCTTAATGCACGCTTTGAATTTGGAATAAAACATAACGAACACGGCGACAATATTGTCTATATATCTAGAAATTATCTCTACCATTTTTCGTTGCATATGAACATTTTTTATTTGCTAAGTATTTGCATGTGACAATAATATGCTTTCTGAATTGTCGCATGTATTTATCGGTCAAGTGGGGGGAGTAAATACGAAAAAAGAAAATACAAACAAATGGAATTTTACATCAATGAATTATTGAATGTTTGGGAAAAATGTGGTACCCACACATGCAGTATTTTGACTATCACTGATTACTTTTGATATAAAGTACATTGCACGTACGGATATTCACTAATCATAAATAATGAACAAACAAAACACATCAAGCAATTACAACAAATAAATACGATTAATATTTGATTAGAAATACCGCAAATGCGTTTTACGTAGACCTAGATATTAAAAGCGAGTTATAGCTTGCTTATTGTGCATTTTTTCTTTAATTGTAGATCGATTTTGAAGGAGAACACGAATATTTTCGTTTTTTGTTCATTAAGACTTTTGGCCGATGTTAACATCTTCTTAATTTGGTTTTCAGACATAATCAAGAATTTTCTATGAATGTTTTTATCAGCGTAAAGCGGAATATTTTCTCTTTTGAAGTGGGATCCAACAAGTAACTGTAATTAAAATGTTTGACTACTATACAAAATTAGATTTGGGTCGTCAACAAAAACCATCAATAGCTTAGTTCCGTTGATTTATCCGATTGATCGGGACCGATATAGGAGTTTCAGTAACTAAATCAAATGAAAAACTAAATAAAATGTTATAAAAGTGGCTTAAGTCATTTTAACTTGAATATATACATAAAATGAAGTTTGACTTTTTAATTGAGGCGCGCGAACTTTTTCCGTCTTCGTAAGCTCATTCAAAAAATAATCAGACATCAGACACACACACACATAGAGAGAGAGAGAGAGAGAGAGAGACTGCAACCATTAGAGAAGTACATTATGATTAGATGTAATTCCATATTTGTTTATTTGTTTTGGTTTTATTTAAATTTGTACAGTTTTTGATTTTTTCTGTCATAAGTGGATGTTGAATTGAAATGTGTAATGAAATGAAACAATATTCGAAATCGAAAACGATATGATATGATTTGGAAATGTTTGTGGCGTTATACACAGAGAGACGCATACATCGAATAGACGCTCTTATATATTAACGACACACAGACGCGCAAAGAGTGTAAAACTGTACATACACCGATGTATACGGTTCAAAAATTGTAGTATGGCGACTATACATACACCAGGTCCCAGAAAACAACTTATACTACTTTTTTAATACATGTACGAAGCAAGAAGAAAGTGAGGAGGAGAGATAACTGAACCGAATACGCGAACGAACCTGGTGTGAACTCCTTTTGGAACGTTGTGAACGTTTTCATATTATGTATATTCTCTCCTTCTCTGTGTGCTGATCAAAAACAATAAATGATTATCTATGTGACAAATATATTGCGCTTCATCGCAGCGACATTTTATTCGGCCAAATACAGTGGAATTCAGAATTCTTTTACTGATAATAGTCACTTGAATGATTACGAATTGGAATTTTTGTATGTAGAATTGTGTCACAATATGGTATTTTATATGACACAAATGGATTGAATGTCTTTTAAATTATTATTTTTTCTTGCTTCCACTCATGGCGATTTGAATGCATTTTATGATTATGTTGAGTTAATATTAATTTCTCAAAGCGATTGGAGAAAAGGAATCAGATGCATTAGTTTTGTTTAGTCATTTTCCTGCATTTCTAATCATTCAATTGATATTTATCCAATGTTTATATTCTCTCAAAGTTGAAAAATTTAACAAATACATAAATAAATTTTTGTATGTATACATATTAAACACACACGCACATTTTCTCATTTTTATACTGGAAATGAGAGTTTTTTTTCATTTTTGATTAATGTCGATGTTTAATATTTTCGCATTCGAGCCAAAATTACATTCAAACTGCACCAAAATTGAATGATATATTTATTTTAATTATTGAAACGTATTTACATCAAATAATCGAAATTTTCTTCTATAACAGTGATTAAATTTACTAAAAATTATAACGATTCTCCGCGCGTTATGAATGAGAGAAAAAAAAATCAAACATTTTACACATTAATTGGTACACACGATTTACACAAAGTTCCAATGAAGCGACGCCATTTTTAATAATGTTGGTATAAATTGAAAATATTCACAGCAGACGAAAATCGTATTCACAGCACACACAGAGTAACAACAGTAGAAGTAATGAGAGAGCACAGCTATATTTCATGTATACGTACGTGTATATATAGAGATATAGGTATATTAACTATAAGAGAGTGATGGCAGCGACGGCGGCAACAGCAAAGAAGCAGAAAATAAATAATAGAGCGAAAAAATCAAAAGGCAAAATATCTGCACAAATTCAATTATTCAAGTTGGCTAATTTTTTCGCGTTTTAATCCTCACAATTTAAGATGGAACGAATTCTTTTCGTTTTTCGATTTGATTTATTTTTTATATCTTTCGGTAACAATTGTTTTTTCTTTCGGCCTCTAAATTTTATTTTCTACGTTGTTGTTTAGCATTTATATAATATAAAAAAAATCCCTTTCGCTCTCTCGTGTAAAAATGTCTAAAATGCGTACGTATTAAATTTCAAAACGCTCACTTTTTCTGTAGTTGTTGGTCGTCAGAGTTCTGCGTTGGTTTGCTATATTCACTACTTATTGTGATTACTTCTGCGTTATTTCTTCCTTCGTGTTGTGTGTATTTTTTTAATTCGCCTTCTTGCCGTATTTTTTTCAGTTCGCTTCTCTGTTCGCTCGTTTGCGTTTTTCGTTGTAGTTTTTTATTTTTATTTTTATTTTATTTTCGGCGGAACGGTGGCGTATTGGTGTTAGTGACCTTTATTAAAGCAAGTGTGACTGAATACTGACACGAAGTATGTATGATTGCTTTACTTGAACCTCACGTCTTTGTGTGCTACGTTTTTTTATATTGGATTTGTTACCGCTGTTTGGGCTTCGTGTGTTCGTTCGTTCGGTTTTTTCGCGTTCGTTTGTGTGCGACGTGGATGTTTGAGTGTGGCAATCTACATAGAGAGAGAGCCGAACACACGAACTCATGAAAACCGATGATTGTAACATACACGAAATTACACCTTGTTATCTCTGTCACACTAATGATAGTATTATAGCTTCTGTGCGCTTTAAAAAGAGACATCATTATAGAATACATGGTGGCGTCGTGGTAGTAGTGTGGCCCGATGTGTATCGGAAAAAAAACAACTCAAACACACTTACGTGTTTCCGGTCGTAAATGTGTTTGTTTTGGCGCTGACAACTACGACATCAACACTGTCTAGTGGTAGAAATTTCAATTCAACTGTCTGTTTAATAATATTTGAATGACAGTATTTTATGCAGGCAAATTGCACATATAAATTCGATAATTTATGTTTTTGCTCAAGTCATTGAAAGATACAAGAAAAATATCACACAGAGAATCATCGTATATTCTATATAATACCATAGCATCATTTGTAACATTTTTATTTATATTCTCCTCCATTCATGAAACAAGTACACATATTTTTCAATTGATCAATGACATTTCCATGACAAAGCCATGGGAAATATGCCCAAACAACACAAACGCCAATCTTCTCGATTTCCAGTGAATGAAAAAGACTTATTTTAATGATCGCACTAAAACATAGAAAAATAAAACTGAATCAGTAACTGTAATTTTTTTGGTTAAAAAAGGCCGAATATTATGCAAGAATGTTTTTAGTCGTAAAAATATAGTACTCTTTACTGATGGTTCTCGTGTATGTATGAGAAATGGATTGTTTTACCGTTTCAATATATGCCGAATTTGTATTATATTTACTTTTTGACGCTTTTCGTATGTTGTTGTAGTGTTGCTCCTTCCTTCAATGTAAACCTCAAACCGTTTTATACGCTGTTGCTGACAAAACACTGACAAGTTCATAATCCAAAATACTATAGGATATATGTGTGTTTTGCTTTTTTTTTCTTTAGTTTGCATGTATTTTTTTGTTTTTGTTTGTATGATGCCGACCATTGTTATTCTATTTGAAACGCACTAAGTACATGCTCGTTAGTTGGATATATTTTCAGACAATCTTTGTTATTTCGATCAACAGGCGAATTTGTGTGCGTTTTTCGTTTGGCTTGAGCTGATAGTGTATTATGGTTTATTTTCAGGACAGTATGCGTGTAGTTTGTGAGTATGTATCACAGCAAAAGTCAATCAATTACAAAAACATATCTACCAACACTAAAAACGCTTTTATTTACAATTGCAGAGCAAAAATGCGGCAAAAAGAAAGAAACAGTATTCATTACACGCATTAGAGTGCTGTAGATTTCTTCGATAATTTTCGATTTTAAAAGTATATAATTAAATGAAGCTATAGCACTTTCGATACAGTTATAAATTGAAGGCAAACGAAATTTTAACCATTCTGATTTAAAAAAAAGATTCCACTTTGCATATCAAATGCAAATCAATTCGCTTTGCAATATCGATAACATGAATTTTCATCAATATTTGATTTCTTTTTCAGGTATCGGTTGGGATACAATTTCCAGTAAACAATGCTATATTAATTATTTTGGAAATGCATAGAAGTTTGGAATTCATATTAATTATCTGTCATTTGTAAATATTGTTTTAACTATATGTATGTGATGAGACTGAGTTCTTATGATTTAAAAAAAAAACTGATATTATGGTCGTCTGATCGTTAGGAAAACCGAACAATTGTTCAAGGCTAAATATTTTGAAAACAGAATAAATTCTTATACCAAAACTAAATGGGTTTTAAATTACCATCCTTTATTTGTATTTGTGCAGTTTGTTGATTTTAAAAAAAATCTTTCAAATGAAACACTTTTCATTTTTGATTAAACAAAACAAAAATAACAACCACCAATTATTTTTACTGATTATTTTGAACATTCATTTGATGATGATGACGCACCATTTTTTACATTGTTAAATCCACCACTGGATAAACAATATTATTATATTAACATCAATCCAACTTTAATTTATAATTGTTTATGTGTCTCGAATTTAAAAAATCTCGAGAGAAATGAACCATTTCCGAGCTTCAATTCTGTTTTGATTACTGATTTTATAATGTGACCACACAAGTGCAATTTGACTTTTGTTGTATGTGAATGAATGTAAATGTGTCGGATAAACACATGCTGATCAGTTAGACACATTGAGAAAAAAATACAACCAAATCGAAAAATTACATGTGTATTTCTGTGATATGTTTACTTGTGCTATTAATTTTGTGCGGTTGTCACGATACGCCAACACTTTCTGTACTGTCAATGAGCATAACATTCGACTGTATTCATGACCTCCAAACATTTGAGATAGAAAGAATTGTTTCTTCAGTGTTTTGGAAAAAGTATATTTTTTACCATACACATATATATGTGCGTTGCTAATAGAAAGTTGGTGTAAGTTCATGCGTTCTCGCTCTGAACCTAGCATGCATGTTCATCTTGTTATGGTACTCCTTGGTAGTTGTTATTATTTTTATGTGTTAGTTTTAGTATGTGGACCCAATTCAAATAACAACAACACCAAGCAAAAAACAACTGTGATAAAATTGTCTATGTATGTAACATGTATATTTTACCGGCAACACGAAATTGTCTGCACGCAGCTGACAAGAGCACATTTCCCCATATGTAAACAAACTTCATCTTACTATAGTAGAATTCTACATGTGTGAAAGCATATCATCAATGAAATTCGTTCTGATAGTGAGTGTTTTGTATTTTTTTTCTATACAAATGTAACTTGCATGTATCGCTCTCTCTCTCTCTCTCTCTCTCTCTCTCTGTGTGTGTGTGTGTGTGTTTGTGCGTGTGTTTGTTTGTATCACACTCGCTATCAACCTGATCAACAATAGAACATTTTTGAAAACATTAGAATCTCAAATGAATCGACGTAAATTGCCAGCGAATACATAGAACATTTAACCCCATCCTGTGATTTCGATCAGAAAATATTTGCATGAAAATTATTTTAAGGGTTTTTTATTCAAAAAGTCAGGATCCCTGTTTTTAGCTCATCTATTTGTGAAATGAGGAGAAGTTCTTTTGATTTGCTAGGGATTTTTCCAAAAAAGTGATCTCCAAAAAATCACCATCCGAAAAATGTTGCTCGCACATTACTGAAATACAAGCAGGAATAAAAAAAATATTAATAAACACAGAACATTAACAAAACTGAATTAACCTCCCTTTGAAACGTCAACTTTTTGTTCACCCCCCTAACGACCCTTTATAAAACGTTAAAGAGATATTAATTACTTACCAGTAAAGTACCCAAAGTGTCACAAAAAGTTTTTAATTTCCTTAGTACAGATGCCAAAATACCCTATAAATGATATTCGTTTCGAGCCCATTCACCCCAAGTCTCCCAACAGTTCTGACCCCCCTCATTAGGGTAAAATGATGAAAAGTCGATTTTTCACATTTTGGGTGAGGAATTTCGCACTCAAATGTATGGCCAACTATAACTAATTTTATCCGCACATTTCATTTAGGCCGTTGCTCATCCCCTCCCATCACCCCCAAGGGGGTCCCCCTACAAAATTCACGAAAATTTCGAAAAATACCCCGAAATTGGGTCCATACCTCATTTAACCCCAAAATTATTTACATATTCGGATTCCTCGTGAAAAATTACCTATAGACTCCATACATTCTCAATCTCTCTTGACCTACAATTTACTCCTTGTAGCTTGTACCTTTAATTCGGGTCGAAAAGTGAAAATACCCCATTTCATTGTCATAAAAAATCATAGGTGAAGGAGTTAGGACCCCCGACCCCCCTGGGGGTGGGTGGACTTGGAGGGCAGGGGTCCTAGAAAATTTCTCTCGTCATTCTGAACAACTTTGTAGTACATTATTTTTTGATCCGATGAATTTTTGACATGGTGAGGTACTCCCCTGCCCCCTACTTCGAGTGGCCCCTCCCACTCATTTTTCACAAACTCATTTTTTCGGCACTTTATATCGATCTGTACTAAGGAAATTAAAAACTTTTTGTGACACTTTGGGTACTTTAATGGTTAGTATTATTAATTTTTTTTTCAAAACGTGCAACTTTTCATTTTATACTGCATAAATATCAACATACATAGCCATTATTGCTGACAACATTGAGATTTAGATATTTTCGAATTTTATTTGGCTGACACAGTCGTTTTGTTTGAAAATAATTTTATAGTCGCATTATTGTACCTAATATCTTGCATCTCCACGCACCATTTATTTTTAGTCCTCGTGAAATAAATGTGTTACGCTTCAATTGTTTACTGGTGGTCTAATGTGTTAAGCACATTAATCCATGTGATTTCTCTCGAGCGCCAGACGCAAATGCTCTTTCACATTATTCTCTGATAGATAACAATAGGTTTATTTAATGCTTGGAATATGTGTTGGAAAAAAATTAGTATATGTATATTAGAGTACTTACTTTTTGCCATAAAACTTACGATATCTACAGCCTTCGGAATATCTTTTGAATCGTGTCAGGAATATTTACAAATACCATATTTCTTGTTGGTAAGAAACAGACATTAAAATTTAATGGAGACGGTTATCATTTTTCAAAATAAAGAGAGAAATAAACTTTTAAAACAAGTTGAGTATTTAAGACCTCTCGCATGTTTTTGAGCAAATTATATAATATAGGAAGTGTATATTGTATCAACGATTTTATTCCAATGTATTCATATGTTCGGATATGTTTGCCACCAATTATAAGATAAATGGCATTTAAAATATAAATTATCCATAATAATCCGGAAGAGGAAAAGTAAAAGAAAACTTCAAGGGCTAGAAAATGTGATGACATTGAATCATTGCATTCCATATAAATAACACGCCGGTCGAAAAGAAACGATTCAAATTGACGTAATTATAGTGAGCTGGGCAAATGTTATTGAAAGTGAGTGAAAAAATTTCATTTGTTGTACATTAATATTGAAAATAAAAATTCTAGGTGGACACACAGAATTACTAATTAATTCGCCCCAACCTAGGGGTCGGAACTTGAAAAAAAAACATCAAATAAATACAGTTTTGTATGAATTTGGTATATTATAGCGACAAATATTACAAATATTCGTGATTATCGTAGTTTTTTGTAATTATACAGCCCGTATACAGCAACGATTTGAAACACACACACAACACAAAATAAGATTAATAATCATGTTATTATTGCATAAAAACAATTTTCAGGCTAAAAATTTATATTTCTTCAACAAAAAAAAATAATTTGGATGAAGATTATATAGATATTTGG